TGTGTGTGTATAGTGTGTGTGTGTGTGTGTGTGTGTGTGTGTGTATCATAGTATTATGGCTTAGTGCTAATATATTATGCTTGAACTTCTATAAATCAATTTTTTTCTCTGTCTTTATAACTTGAAAAACTCCAAAAGTTGAAAATCTTTAAAACTTGAGTTATGTCTTCTTGGTACATTTGAGCTAGAAAAGTTTAACTAATTCAAAAGGTCGTTTAAATTCAGACACATTTAATATGTGTGATCTCATATTCGGAATCTTATATATAACATTAACTTTATTAATCACTATAGAGATTAATGCAATTTTTGCTAGGTGTAATTAGCTAATAAATTGATCATTATTGGCTTAATATTGGCTTAATATTGGCTTAATATTGGCTTAATATTGGTTAAGTAAGAAAAAAACATTGCTCTCAATCAGAAGCTAAACGTGAATAGAATTTGCTGAGCTATTCATACTTACTTTATGTTGCGCTGGACTATCTTGCTGAAAGGTAGAGGACATTACCAAAGGTGGCACAACCGCGCAATGACTCCATTGCAAAGGATTTTGTCCTGCATGAATAGCCGTTGTAGCAAAACCTAGCTCCGTTGAAGTCATTGCCTACGGAAATTCGCGTTTTTGCGATATCAACATAAATTGTTAATTAAAAATGTTAATTAATTTATTATTAAATCTTTGAGGCAGTCTTTCATGAGTATTTTCTTCAAAATTATAATTAGACATTAATAATGAAGACACGATGATAAATCACATATTATTATACAATTTTAAATTAATTTATTATCAATTATAATTAATTATAATTAATAATTAATTACAATTAAATAGATTAATTAAAAATTGTATATATATATATATATATATATAATATAATATAATATAATAATAAAAAATTGTCATATAAACTGTAAATAAGAAAAAAATTTGTTGTATGAAAAAAATCGATATATTCGAAAGTAGAGACGAAATCTAGTTTAAAATAAAAACATTAATAAAAAACATTCTGTTTCACAAGATTAAGTTATTTATATTTTTAATGCACATTTGAATCTCAAAGGTCATTTCAGCCGCAGTGTGAGATAAAATTTTGCGATAGTTTCAAAATCATGTGTTATAAAATTGATTATGTGAATCCAAAAATGCATTGAAATTCTGATAAAATTAAAACGATTGGAGCAGAGCAAAATGATGAAAAAAGGTATTTCTAAATCATTCAAATGACCTCCTTTAAATTTCAAATATATATAAAAAACTTGATATCGCGAAACGGGACGCACTTATACTTTCTTTCTTTGTTAAACATGTTAATTTTATGAAAAAAATTTTACTAACTTTAATACTAACTTTATATATGTATGTACAATTTTTTATCATTCTATTAATAACTTGAATGTGTCCGATAATCTGTATCTTATGTTGTGAATGAAGACTGAATAGCATATGGTATACATGATAACTATTGACATGTACTTATAATGGGTTGAATATCGCATTAGAAACATATGATCGTTGTGGAGTGAGAGAAATTACATTGGCGCCCTATGTTTACTCTTTTGTTAACATCAATCGGTGATTTTGTTACCTCTTAACGGTACATGCACATATATACTCAGTACATACATATTCCATTATATATATATGGATGATGCTAACAAGTTGCGATTCATAAGGTTGCATGGCGCAACAAGAACCGCGGTAAGTGGTAAATAAGTTGAGATAAGGTTGAAGTTGCACTCTTTAAATTTTCAAATTAGGAGAGGGAGATGCTCGTCAACATGATAGTGATTTTCGAAGAAAAAAAGAGATTCTTTTTTGGACACCTTCTACATCCTTTGAATATATCCTATATGTAATTTTATATATGTAAAATTTTTTACCATTCTATTAATAACTTGAATGTGTCTGATAATCTACAGCTTATGTCATGAGTGAAGATTGAATTTTTCTCTTAAAGAATTCGGAGCATTCGTTTGACCCGCGACTTTTCATTTGTTTACAGGATTTAAATTTAATCGTAAACAATAATTGCGTTCAGCAGAGAAAAGTAGCTTTGCAAGAATCTCTGATATAGTTGATTTTTATCCTTAATTTCTTACAGATCTAAATGTATATATTAATCATATTAAAAAATTTTATAGCAGTTGCAAAGCTGCTTCCTCTGCTGAATGCTTATTCCTCTCAGGTGCACTCTCGGCACCTTTTTCCCCCCACCATCCCCGGTGCAAGTGAGTGTAGCAGATTGTGAAGGCTGTTCTCTTGGCAAATCAACTTACGATTTGAATGACGAAATGTCTCTTCTAAATGACAAATTTACGAGAATTTTCCTCGAAGGGATCGTCAGGAAAATATAGTCACGGAATTGACGTTGATATCGTTGGACAATGCCGACTGAAGTATCACGATTGCATCAGTGACGAGTAATTTATACACCCCGCAACGTTGGCAGTCACGTGACTGATAATGGAGAAGAACAGAAAATCTAGTGGCACTCTCGCGGCATAAGGTCTCGTCTACAATGCGTTATGGTCGGTGTCGTAGGTCGTGAACCGTAAGAACGAGCGTAAACGCAGCGAATGTGAAGAGAATATTTGATTGTGATTGGCCCGTTCTTACGATCCACGACACCGATACACGACGCATCATTAACGAAGCCTAAAAGCCATTGCACACTGAACGCGACGAGCGATGAGCGATGAACGATGTCCAATGAGAGCTTTGCTTTTTCAAACGTCACATCCGAAAAAATAAAGCTCTCATTGGACATCGCTCATCGCTCGTCGCGTTCAGTGTGCGACAGCTATAAAACGTTACTGATCACAGACATGCGGAACTATGCGCGGAATAATTCACACTTATCATGTTCGATAGATCGCGATCGATTATCGATCCTAATTCGTAAATAACTCCGATAACAAAATTCCAATTCCAATTAATCTAACTGGCGAGTGTTTTTCAAGAAGTACTTGTTATTTTCTCGTTATCAAGACGAATTGTTGACGAATTATTGACTCGTTATCAAGACCAACATTGATGACCAAGTCATTGACAAATCAGTGACAAGTTATTGACTTTATTATTTGATAAAAAAAGAAAAATTAGAGTATGAAGCATGAAACATATATGATTTAAATTTTCATCGCGACTGCCGTATAATAATCATAAAGAATTATAAATAATTTAGAAAGAATGTATGTTATATGTTCATATTACTTAAAATATTAAATAAAAAGATTTTTTATAAAAAAATTAAGACAAATAAAATAACATTTTAATAAAAATTAAGACAAAAAAATAACATTTTAATAAAACATTTTTAATATTAAATATTAAGATTTTTATATTTTTATGAAAAAAATGTTTGTAATCAAGACTTTTAATTGTGATTATTATTTGAAATCGGTTGAATTTGGCTGCTATAAATAAATTGTGAAGTTAAACAAATTGCGAGGACGTCACAGAGCGCTGGGGTCCGCGTCTGCTACCGCCATCATCCGCCATGTTCTTATATCTAATATTTATCATCATCTTCTCTTTTCCTTTCGTTGTGCTCTCCCTATTGTTGTCGTGAGGAAACATGTCCGCTTGCGATGATTGTTCTAGTGACAGCAAAGAATCGGGGACCAGCTCGAAATTTGTGGTATCTAGAGTTTCAAATTCCACCCTCAGGTGTGAGTGTACTAGCTGAAAAAGTGGAGCAGGCGTTAGCTCGCTTGCGCTCCGGACAAGGGGTTGCGGACGGGATCGCGGTTTCCACGCCATTTCGCAAGAAATTCTGAGTTTTGGACAAAGTCGCGGACGTGGTCACGATTTCTTCCTTCAGTGTCTAGCTCTATCTTCTAAATAGTTTATCGGTAAGTCTATAAAAAAATTTTTTTTTATAATAGCTACTAATTACAAATAATTAATTACAAATAATTACAAATTTTTTATTTACATATAAGAAGATAAAAAATTAGCAAACGCTGGCGTCTGCTTCTTCTTCTTCGCGCTCTCTTTGCACGATCTCCTCAGTTAATACACCCACACTGATCGAAACCCCGGATGCCACTCTTCTAAAGGCTCAACCTCAGGAGAGCAAATTTCGAGCTTTCGACTCGTACAAATCAAGCTGACTTTTGTCACTACTGGACCACCACTTGATGTCTCTTCGTCAATATTTCCCGCAATATCACTACTCGTGGAAGAGTCCACCGGTAGCCACTGAAGGTTCAAACGGAGGGGTGAAATGAGGGACGAAGTGAACGACCAACGATTATAACGCGCGCAATGAAGACGCACCAACGGCAATAAACCTCGCGTTGTTATCACGAGGATCGGGAGTTGCGGAGGCGCATTCGAACTCAGAATTTTCCGCAGAATGGAAAGGAAACCGCAACCCTGTTCGCAATTTTGTCCGGAGCGCAAGTGAGCTAGCGTCTGCTTCACTTCTTTTTTGCTTTCTCTTTGCGCGATCGCCTCAGCTGATATACTCACATCTGATGGTGGAGATCGAAATTCCGGATATCACTCTTCTAAAAGCTCAATCAGCAGAGTTCAAATTTCGAGCTAGTCCCCGATTTACTTCTTCGCTGTCACTAGAGCAATCGTCGCGAGCGAACATGTTTCCTCGACAACAATAGGAAGAGCACAATAAAAGGAAAAGAGAAGATGATGATAAATATATTATGAGAACATGGCGGCGGGCGGAGGCAACGACGCGGATCCTCGCGGACCCAGTGACGTTAGTTCCTCCGTAATTTGTTTATAATTCTCCGAATCGCAATTTGTTCATAGCAGCGTATTATCGGCGCTTAATGAAAGAAAAGAGAAGAAAAAGAGAGAGAGAGAGAGAGAGAGAGAGAGAGAGAGAGAGAGAGAGAGAAGGAAGGAAGAGGAGGAGGAAGGGGGGGGGGGGGGGGAACCAGGCCGCTCTCTTTATGCAGCCTTCCTATATCTATCAAAACCGCGCAGCGACGTTACGGCGCGCCGTCTATGCGAATTACTCTCCATTTCCTTCGTCATTCACCAAGCAGCTTTTGTCGGACGTTAAGTATCTCCGAGCATAATTAATCATATTTCCCCGCCGCCACTCATCCTTCGGGGTCACGATTACGAGGCCTATTTCCTTTCACGAAAGGTGCCGCCACCGCCGCCGCCTGAATTTCTCACTGCCGGCGATGAGCGAAACGGAAGGTAAGGAAAATTCACGAAGACGAGCGATATTTGAGATTGTATCAGGAGAGAGTCTCGTCGCCCGGGAGGGAGAGCACTGCCTGATGCTGAGCCACGATCATAGAATGTCCGAGCAACCAGCCGACCGACCGGTAGTCGACCTGCGTAATCCAGTTACACCGCCTCAAGACCAGTTTTTCCAACTTTGATTATAAGAGGTCACCGTACACGAATGCGCGAGATCTCTAGCGCATTCGTCGCTCCCGGTACAGTCGCGAACAGGCGAGGTGTACGCGAGTACCCGGTTTTATCCACCTGTCGCTTTCTGCGAAATTAATTCGCGAAATCCGCCTAATGAAACTCGCCCGAGAAGTTCAGGTCTCGAACGCGACACCGGATTCAACGTTCCTGATGTGAATGAATCGTTAAGGGCCATAGCGCGTCAAGTGCGATTTTATCCCGTTGACGCATAGAAAAAAAAAAAAAGAAGAAAGAAAAAAAAAAAAAAAA